TATAAGCTTGATGCATACCAATTTTTCTTTGGATCAAGTTCAAAATGGCCAACTGGCGGCCATTTGGTTTTAAAGAATTTAGTTTTCGATCCATATCTCGAACATGCCTGGACAGATCAAGTTCAAACTTCACATACACATCATACATTATATCATACATATGCCTGTGCATTTGGGCCAGTCCTTTAAAGGTCAAAAATTCACAAAAATTGCACATTTTCACCATACCGGAACTGAATCTTAGTCATGCGTGGGCAAATTTAGTTTAAATTTTTTTTTGGATTGTGTTGAAAATGGCTGACTGGTGGCTAATTTGTTTTACTGAATGCAGTTCAACATCCATATTGTTGCTGCTTTGAATGTACATGTATATGTCACTCAAATATGAACGGAATGGGGACGTGCCATTGACAATGACTTGTTTTTGAATAATTGAGAACCAAAAATTCACAATTTCTCATATGTGTAGATGCTCTAAAAGAAGCCGCATCCCTTCTGTTGCATTGTACCATTTTAAAAGAAGTCACGTTACTTGGTGTATTTGTACCTCAGGTTGACCTAATAAAATTTTTCACAAAAACTGATAATTCTGACTTCTTAAATAATGCTTGTTCAATTGCTTTGTATTTGTATCTACCTCAAGTGGACTCGTATAAAATTTAATTTATTACTATACCTTAAATTATTTAATTTTGGTGAATTTATGTTATATTTTTTCAACTTGTTCTTAAAAACTGTTATTCTGAGTACATAACTGTTTGTATGCTGGTACCTCTCAGATTTGTGAAAGTAGAAAAAAATCTAAAACAGTAACCCCTCCCCCCCCAAAAAAAATATATAGGCGGAATACATGATAGAACATTTATTAGAATTATGCTTATTTGCAATTTCTCACACCATTATTAGATGTTGTATATCACCACTATCAGAAATAGAGGATTTTATGACATCATAGCTTTACATTATAACACGACAATCGTAAACGTCTTATCACATTCAAGTAAATTTCACTTTCTAAACCATAAATTGCATAATGAATTCATCTTACATTTGTTCCAAGAAATTTAAAAATTTGTTATTTAGGTGATTTTTCAGTGATTATGCTCAGTGTGTCCATTACCCCTGCCCCTTGTAACATTTTCAAAGAACAATGCAAGACCTTCTCTAATATAAAATATTATTTTTCTAGGCCCTACAAGATGATATTCATGACACTTTGCAGCCTAATATGACAAGTATTAATGAAGCAGGCAGTAAACTCACTCAGGAAGGCGCTCAAGCATATGCACTGAAAATCACTACTATGTTAGCACAATTGAATGATTGTTGGCAACGCATTAAACATCTTGCCAAGGATCAAAAAGATACACTTGAAAAATCACTGAAGAGAAGCAAAAGTTTTAAAGATTCCATGGTGAAGTTACTTGATTGGATAGATGACATTGAAAATGAGTATGTATCAAAAGAATTGAATTTACAGGATCCAGCTGATATTCAAAACAGTCTGAGAAAGTACCAGGTATGTCAAATTTGGTGCAGATATCATATCCCCTGTCATATGGTGGTTGTCAGCATCAATACGCCATAGCTAAATTTTGGTGTGTGTGATGCTGCTGTTTTGCTTGAAAACGAGAGGTTAATTGTATGATCATTTGCATATTTGCATATATTACACATCTCTAATATAACAAAAAAAAGGCAATACACTGTAACCTCGTTATAACAAACACGTTGGGAGACAGCCATTTAGTTTGTTATATTGAAGTGATCGTTATACTGAATAACCTATTCATTGCTCATA